CTAAGCCGGGGGGTGGGTTCAGGCCCCCCAGTAACGTGTCTGCACTGGACAAGTGTGGGGGGAGGATCAGGGCTCTGGGAGCAGGGTTTTAGAGATACTGCAGGGACTGACAGGACTCCTACAGAGAGGGGCCAGGTATCAGGGAGGATGTGAGGAAGGAGGAGGCTGGAAACTCCAAGGAAAGGAAGCGGTGGGAAGGAGTTGAGGTGCATGTACATCAATGCTAGGAGCATGGGTAATAAGCAGGAAGAGCTAGAAGCTCTCCTGGGAATCTGGTGGGAATCACAGAAACTTGGTGGGATGAAAGGCAAGTCTGGAATGTGAACATAGAAGGGTATCACCTTTTTAGAAAGGACAGGAAGGGAAAGAGAGGTGGGGGCGTGGCTTTATACGTCAGGGAAGGGATAGGATGCAGTGAGATAGAATGCAGCACAGATGGGGATTCGGTAGAGGCAGTCTGGGTGAAACTTAGGGGTTTTGACAGGGAAGAGACCTGACAGTGGGGGTATGTTATTGCCCTCCAGGTCAACTTGAGACCCTGGATGATGTCCTGACAGACCAGATTCCAAGGATATCTCAGGAGAGAGACACAGTAATTATGGGAGATTTCAGTCTCCCGGATATTACTTGGGAGACTCACTCGGCAGTGACAGCCAGGTCACGTCGCTTCCTAGAAGCTATAGAGGGAGGGTTTTTCACACATAGGGTCTGAGAGGCGACGAGGGGGGGAAACATCCTTGACTTGATGTTGACCAATAGGGAGGAGCTGATAGGTGAAGTACAAATTAGGGGAGCTCTGGATGCGAGTGATCACTCCATCCTTTGCTTTGAGATCAGGGGACTGGGGACGTGCAGCAGGTCAAGCACTAGAAGCTGGGACTTCAAGAGGGCCAACTTTGGCCAACTGAAGGCCAGACTGGGGAAAGTCTCCTGGGATAGGTAACTGGAAGGTACGCGAGTTGAGGAGGGGTGAATAGCACTAAAAAGGGAGGTTTTGGAGGTGCAAGCCTTGACAATACCTCTAGTCAGTAAGGTGGGGAGGCGGAGGAGAGTGCCACCATGGATGCAAAAGGAGGTGGTTAGAGGGATTAGACGAAAGAGGAACCTCCGCAGGAAATGGGTACTGGGGGAAATAGACAAAAGGGTATACCGGGAGGAGGAGGCCCATTGCAGAAGGATTCTTCGCAAGGCTAAGGCTGATTACGAGCTGAGACTTGCCAAGAATATCAAGAGCAACAAAAAGGGCTTCTTTCAGCATGTAAATAGGAAGAGGAAGGGGAGACAAGTGGTGGGACCACTAAATAAGGAGGAAGGAGATCCAGTGACTGATATGAGGGAACAGGCATAGATGCTAAATGACTATTTTGCCTCTGTGTTCTCCCCAAAGCAGGACAGGGGATATCCTCATAGAAGATTAGATGAGGCTGGGGACTTAGGGGCACAGATTAGGGTCACCCCCCCCTTGAAGTAGAGGGGCTCCTCAGGGCATTGGACATTACAAAGGCGCCAGGCCCTGACGGGTTACACCCGAGAGTACTTAGAGAGTTGGCAGGGGTTCTCTCATGCCTGCTGGCCTCCATTTTTGAGACCTCATGGAGAACGGGTGAAGTTCCAGAGGACTGGAGGGTGGCATCAGTGGTCCCAATTTTCAAAAAGGGTAGTAGAAAGGACACGGGGAATTATAGACAGGTTAGCCTTACGTCCATTGTAGGAAAAACAATGGAAAGGCTCATAATAGAGATCTAGTGATGCTAGATAGGGAAGGGAGGCTGACAACCACTCAACACGGCTTCCGCAAAAACAGGTCCTGCCAGACAAACCTTGTGGAATTCTATGACAAGGTTTCAAGATGGCTAGATGGAGGGGATGCAGTGGATGTGGTATACCTGGATTTCAGCAAGGCCTTTGACAAAGTGCCCCATGATATCCTGGTGGAGAAAGTGAGGAGTTTTGGGATACACCAAAGCACTGTCCGGTGGATTAGGGCATGGTTGACTGACCGAAAGCCGAAGGTAACCATTAGCGGGGAATCATCGGGATGGTGGCCAGTAACAAGCGGGGTCCCCCAGGGCTCTGTCCTGGGGCCGATCCTGTTTAATCTTTCATTAACGACATGAAAGAAAGGGTGAACAGTCTGCTGATCAAATTCACAGACAACACTAAAACTGGAGCAGTGGCCACAACTGAGGAGCAGGTACTCCAGATCCCAAAGGATCTGGACAGACTATGGAAGTGGGCAGGAGACAACAGGATGGTGTTCAATGTGGATAAGTGCAAGGTCTTGCACTTGGGGCATAGGAATAGGTGTCATAAGTACTGATTAGGTGACAGGTGGCTGGCGAGCAGCACTAGTGAAAGGGACCTTGGGGTGCTGGTTGACTGCAGGCTAAACATGAGTCAGCAGTGTGATGCGGTGGTCAAGAGGGCGAACGCCACCCTTGGTTGCATAGCCAGAAGTGTGGCTTCCAGGTCAAGAGAGGTATTACTACCACACTACACGACTCTGGTGCGCCCGCAACTGGAGTATTGTGTTCAGTATTGGGCCCCTCATTACAGAAAGGATATAGGCAGGTTGGAGTCAGTGCAGCGTAGGGCCACAAGGTTGGTGGCCGGTTTGCAGGGGATGCCGTATGAGGTGAGACTGAACTGGGAACTGGGTCTCTTCAGCCTGGAGAAGAGGAGACTCAGAGGGGATCTGTTGGCGACATACAGGTATGTGAGGGGATGTCACATGGAGATTGGTAGAGACCTGTTCTCCCCTGCAGAGGAAGGCAGGACACGCTCCAACGGAGCAAAGCTCAGGGAGCCAAGGTTCCATTTGGATGCCAGGAAGCACTTCCTGACAGTCAGGACCCCGAGGGTGTGGAATGGGCTTCCACGAGAGGTTGTTGAGGCCCCATCGGTGCGGGTGTTCAAGGATAGGCTGGACGTCCACATGGTGGGCATGTCATGAGTGGAGCCGGCTGGTGCCGGAGGTCAGACTAGATGGCCCAGGAGACCCCTTCTGAATCGTTATGTTTCTATGTTGGCCCCACTCCCTTGGTTTTTAAGAAAATAATTCAGACTCTCTCTTTACTTGGACCTTTTAAAAAGTGGATACTGTTTGAATGTATTTTTATATGATTATGGATTACTTTTTTAAATTAAATTATTGTATACCATGTGACGTGTGAAAATTATATAAATACTACACATAAAAAGTGTAAATAGGAGTTAGTAAAGAGGGAACTTCAAGTAAAAACTGAACAAATCTGTCTCTTGTGACCTTCTTCACTCTATACTGTTTTTAAAAAGCAAACAGAAATCCTGGTGAAAATACCTGCAACTGTTTGCCTTTGTTTAATGTACCAAATGGAAAAAAGACACTGAATTTTTTCAAAGGTACTATATTGCAGGAATCACTGTGTTAAAGACAAAATAAAAATACAGCCAAGCCCACATTGCTTCTGGCACTCTACAATGTAAGCAGTTTATTCCCAGAGCATGTTAAAGGTTCAGCTCCTGTTATTGCAGAACAGATCCAGTAAGTTAATATCAGGTGGTGAGTGTCACATACGATTGCTTAACATCTCTGTGTATTCAGAGGCACTGTAGGCTATTTGTAGTGGAATGGAAACACATTATAAGTCCATAAAAGCAATAGAAAGTCTGAAGAGTGGATATACAGTAGGAGAACTAACTCCCAACAGCAATTTCCTGAACAAAAATTGCTGCTTAAAGTTCATTCACCTATCAGATAGGATTTACAGTTTTGTATTAAATCAAATCCAGTTGCCTGCATCCGGTAGTAATGAATACCTGGAGCATAAGAAGAAAAGAGTGTGGGGAGGGGAAGCCACTTCAGGTTGAACCACATCAACCTAAGTGTTCGCTACGGTGTGTAGGGGTTGGTGGGAAGAAGATTCTGCTGAGAGTTATTATATCCATCTTTTCAGATAACCATAATCATTTTGAAATGAGACAGTTTTTCCCTTAATTGCCTCACTATATATAGCCAATATATATCATATTTGCATACAATTATTTGTAGCTCCCTCCTGAACATTTATGTTAACAAAGTATCTGTTAATTGCATTCATGGATTTTCCCCTCACTTGATTTTGCTCATTTTGTCTTACTGCTATCAAGCCTCTTATTTCTTAACAAAACACTTGTGCTGCCTGGCATCGTCACATCCGTAAGGCTCCTCTGTAACAATTCCTCTCCTAACACCATGATACTCAAAGTGATAGGCAGGCTCAGAGTATTATTAGAAGCAGCACAAGCACGTCTCTGAGCCCTTTTCCTTGAGTATCCTGGGCTGCCTGGATCCCTGCTTACCTATGCACTGCTCTCTACCTGGATTGCCTGAAGGAGAACCACTATATGTCAATTATTTTCATAATAAACCATATATCTGCCCCTTCATCGTTATAATATACAGGCTAAATGAGATCTCTTGTGCACAGTGAAATAGCTTGTGTTGCAGTAGCTTCACATTTGGCTCATCAAAGCAAGACAGAGATAAGTAAGCAAGTGGTGTTACTCCACCAAAACTCCAGAACAGTTTCAGAAATGCTGCAAGTCCCAAACACGGTAAAGAGGCTGCCATTTTTATCGATTCCTTCATGAATGTGAGATGGCATCACAGCATCACTTGCAGACATGTCAGGGTCATATAAGGATGCTGCTTTGTACATTCCTTGCCACAACAGACACCTACAGGCATTCAAGGAGAGGGCCAGCATGCCACTTATGGTCTTCCTGGATCTGAAACTTCCACTTTTTTTTTTTTTTTTCAGCATAGCATCAGTTTGAAAAATTCCTGCCCTGGTCAGCACTTGTGGTTCTGACCAAGGATCCTACTGGGGTGGAATTTGCCTTTTACCTGAAAGATGCAAAATTACTTAACTGCTTCAATAAGAGCAAAAGACACCAGGACAGGCAGACTGGCAGAAAGTTTAACTCTGGCTAATGTTCTCCTTGAGAAGAAGGAAATCCATAATCAAGTGTCAGCTTACCTGTTTAAGTGCCTTTTTGGTGTGCTGCTGAAAGGAAGACACTAGCTTGCTTTGCACTGGTGCACTAGAGAGACTTGAGTCCCGAATGGAAGACACTTCTTCAGGTGCTTGCTTTGGGCAAACTAAAAATATAGAAATGAAATATAGCACTGAGAACAGAGGAAGGTATAATTTACTTTCAGATCTTAACTATCAAAGAGCTGGCCCCATAAAGAAGGTCTTAGGGCTAATCTGACATGAAAGAAAGCAGCTGCATTGCAGAGAACATGGGAGCACATGAGTAAAGTGAGAGGCAACCATGAACACCCACTCAAACTATCATAGACACACTTAGGACTGTTCTTTGGCTTTTCCTAGGAAGATGCAGGCCTCTGTCTACAAAAAGCATCTGCCTGCCATTGGCAATGAAATCACACAAAGCTCAGTTTTGTCGAGACATAAATTTTCAATTGTATGCTGCCAACACATGCTAGATTCAGTGAATGCCTTGATACATACAAATTAACATCTGTGAAATGTCTTTTGCTATAATTTGAAAATGTGCTATTTGCCTGCAATAAAACTCCAAACTAAACTGAAGGCAATAAGGAGAAAAATGACCCATCCAGGAAGCAAAATATGAGGCTGCCCATCATCTTGTGGAAACATTGCAGAACATAATAGAATAATAGAATTTAACAGCCTTAAGAGATCCCTTGACCTAGCAGGTAAGTAGTAAAGCTCAGCCAGGGAGAAAAATAGACAACAACATGAGAATAAAATTCTGGCCAATGTTCTAGTCCCTAAATCAAATGGTAAATGCATTGTAAAGTTAATTTTTTCTCATTCTTGTGGGAAAGCAATGAAAAAGAGAGACCTGTCTCTGTGCAACTAGCATTTCCATGGTAGTTAGCAGTTATACAGCATTTTCAGAATACCCCACATATAATACCTTATGCACATATGAAGCTGTTTAATTCTGAGTCAACCCATCACTGAGTCAGCCCAGAACTTTCCCATCTATTTCTAGTAGCAGCTCTCAGACAGAAGTCTTGCTATTTGGGCAAATCTCCAGCTATCTGTTCTCCCTTTCAACAGAAGATGACAGGGATTAAATTGGTGGCCCTCTTTCTGCATGCAAAACACCACTGAGCAATTAGCTCTTTCTTAAAACTGCCTTGGGCATATGATGGAAATGTGGTATAAAATATATACCAAATCAATAAAGATTATCTCAGGTATATGGGAGAAATCTCTTTCTTTCACTGCTCCTAACAGTAATAGAACATGTGTGGGATAACCATGCTGATCCTTAAAAAGAAAAAAGAAAAAAAGCTCTGGGAATTATGAGAGGATCTTCTCTATATAGCAGTCTTCCCTGATCTGGTGCTCTCCAGATGCTCTACAACTCACAGAAACATCCAGTCAGCTGTGCCACCTGGGGAATTCAGGGAGCTGTGATGTAACCCAACTGGGGGGTACCAAGGTGGGGATGGTGGCTTTGTTTGTTTGTTTGATTGATTGATTGATTTCTACCCAAGAAGTGCCATTGAATGCCATTTGGGGTAGAAAGATAGGATACAAAGAAAACAAAGAAGATAAGATGCAAATAAAACTCAAGGTGGCTATATGCATGGGGGGGAGGAGGAGGGGGGGAGGGGGAAGAGGAGGAGGGGTTAATAGAACCCTATTCTCACCTCCAGCCATACTTTCCCAGTGTGTTTACATTCAAGTCAAGATTTTAATTAGGGCTGCCACTCTTTTCCCCAGTTGTGATTTTCAAAGTGTCATTTTGCATGTGTTCAGGGGCAGCAAAAAATAATGTGGATTTGCCACCCACAGTCCTGGCACTGATTGGCATCCCAGACTAGGTGGTGGCCATCTTTTATTTCCAGAGCAGGATTGGAAGAGGGAGGGAAAGGTGAGAGTACTGCCTTCTGCCTAATTTCAGCATGTGGTACACAGTAACACTTTAGAGATAGGTCGAGAAAGGGCATGGCTTCCTGCACTCTGCCTGCCTGTGGGTCATAAGTAGGGGAAAGTGGCAGCAGGGAATGGCATCTGCTAGCAGCTTAAAACCATAAGGACATAATCCTTCACATTTAGACCGAAAATATGTCCTACCATTCTCAGCATTCCCCAGCTGCCATAGCTTCTCTTCCCTTTCTCAAGAGGAGCACATGACTGTGCCCTAATGGTCCTTCCACAGAGCTGTCACTACGTATGAGGGAACAAGATAGTCCTGGAGTGTTCTGGGGTATGTGTGGAGTGACACAGTTACTGCTCAGCTCCAAGGAGCAAAGAACATGTAAGAATCATGCCTTCAAGCCAGTTAGGGCTGCTAGGAGAACAAATATTATGTTTTGAAAGATTTAAGATTTATAAATAATGGGACAGCTCCAGAAAAAAGCAGGGCTTTCAGGCACATGATCTTGCACTTTGGCTAATCTGTCTTTAATACATGTTCTGTTTAGATTTTCCACTTCTCCCTTGAATTATTATTATTATTATTATTATTATTATTATTATTATTACATTACATTTCTATGCCGCTCATAGCTGAAGCTCTCAGGGTGGTTCCCAACATTTTAAGTCACCCATCCTGATTTCAATCAGGCCCAACCTTGCATTTCTTGCAAGATTAGGCAGGATCAGTTACTTCAGGCTACACAGAAGCTTGAATCATAACAAATTAGAAATACCTCTTTTGAAGAAAAAATGGTACTGCTTCTAAAATGTTGTCATAAATGTCATGTCATGGTTGCCAAAAAATAGAAAATGCATCTCCAAGACAGGGGGGCAAAAGAAGACAGGAATGTGCATTAAAATTTTCCATGCTATGTTATATGTACAGGTGCAAATGTAGACCTCACAACTGTAATTTAACAGAAATACAATATGTTTTCCCATGGGAATGGCAGCAGGGAGACAGCAAGCAAGTGATGCATGTGTCTGTCAAGGTTTGAACTCTTGACAAGCAACAACAAGGCCACTGCTCTCCTTTCTAATGGGTTTTTATTTCTCAACAAGGTGGACTTCAAATAGAGGATGTCTTCAGATAGATGACTGACAGGCTTTCAAACAGTGGACTGTCCTCTATAAAGCGGCCCACATGACCACCTTCACTGGAAGGTTTCACTTAAAGTATTATGGAGAATATATATAGTACTAAAGAGCCAACTCTGGCCTTTGAGTCTAATCTATCCCATAGAAGTTGCCTATTCAACCTACAGAGCATTCCTGGATTCCTCCAAGTAGTGGTGTTTGCTCCATAGAGGAATCCCCATTGTCATCTCCCATCACAGATTAGAGAAAACAGTGGCAGATTCAACTGGGGAAGCTGCCAGGTGGATGAAATGTTCCCAAGCCACTGGGGAGGAATACACATATAGAGGGAAAGCTGCTCAATTGAGTTAGTGGCTGGAAGAAGGCTCCGCCTGCAGTCTGCTCAGTTGATGGGCTTCATCTGTTCCACTTCCTCTCCCCAGTGAGAGAGGATGCTACAGAGGTGATGTAGCTTGCTGTTTCGGGGGCTTTGACAATGGGGGAACAGCAGAATGACAGGTGCTGCTGATCACCAGTTTTGGATGCTGTCCAAAATACATTAGATTCTTACAGTATCTTTCCAGATAAACTTAAGTGTGGCTAATTTTCCTCATGATAAAGAATTGTATTTGTTCAGATGCGTAAAGGAACTAACTATATATGTAACAGTTAGTGACTTTCAATTGCATAACTGAAATTACAGCTTCAAAAAAGCCATCTGAGTCCATCTTGTAAATATTGTATACAATGCAGACATGGTCTTGTTTAACCACTGAACTAATGCACAATGGTACTGGCATCTCAGAGAAAAGGACATTGTTATTTTCCAGCCGCTTAACAATAAATGTGAAGTGATTATTAAAGCATTTACCTTAAACAGTTCCTCTTTACACTTGAGTATTGCAAGATAGGACAAGTAATTGTCTCATGCAGATATCACACTGGCTGTTCAAAAACTACCGTTTGCTAACTGGAAGATGGAAACATGACCACTGACACCCTCTCCTCTCCCTTCCTCTTTCCAGTGACAACCATGGGTAAAATCCAATGCTAAAACTAATGCAAAGCCAGAGGCTGAAAATCTGCTTTGGAGTAGATTGAAAACCACATTTAGGATTGGCATTGATGTAATGTAGATCCACAGTTAACACTGCAGCTTGAGAAACTTACTCTGGAAAAGGAAAGGAAAAGTTTGGCTTCCAAACTATGATTTTCTGCAGGGCACTGTTACATCAGTATCAAGCCATTAAAATTACAGTGCTACAGACACTTAATTGGATGCAAGTACCAATTAAGGTCGTTTACTTCTGAAAAACTTGCACAAGACAAGTAAAATGCAAAGTTACATCTTACCTCTTTATGATATATACTCTGTGTCAACGATATAACCATATGTTTAGTTTAACTTATGTATAAGCTTCAGTAGAATGGATGGGAGAAAAAAGTTCAAGCCTGAACAGCAGCAGCTCTCATTCCATTAATGCAAATATTCTCCTGCTTTGGTTACCCATCCATGGGATCAAATAATAAGTTCACACATCACATTTCTTAAGTGATTAGAGCAACCCTTTGATAACCTGAACATGTGGAACTGTTATAAGGGCCCAGTTACTTATACAATCATGGATCATTCATTGTTGCTTATGAGAGTATGCCTTAATAGAGTGTCTTAATAGAAGAAAGGGCAGAAAATTTGAACTAAAATTGGACAGGAACACAGTAAATCATATGTAAAATATGCTGAAATCTTGCTCCATCAGTTTCAATCAGGCTCTTTTTCATATGCCCACAAAAGCTTGCCAATAAGGATATGCAGGCAAAAACATGAAGATATCATCTTCAGATGAATACGCAAATATTGCCGATATGTAAAAGAAAGCTTCACACCTTTAAAAATAAATGTAGTGATATTCTTGTTTTTAAATGTCAAACCAGCCTGATCTTGAATAAATCAGAAAAGGCATTTTCCTTATTCTTATAGCAATTTCAAAATGTGTCCACAAATGATCTTTCAATAGTTCTTTCCTATGCTACCACACGTTGCCTAACTCAAGCAGAAAACATCCACTGATATTCTTTAGACACTTGTTTCTACAAA